GTGTTGATTGAGTTGTTTAACATTGAATCGTTTGTGTAGAAGTTGATATTTTTGAGTGAAATATTGTTTTGAAATAAATTTTGTAGCATTGGATTAAAATAAATGAATATTAAATAAACCTCAACTTTTTTATTATAATAATTTTGGACCCGAATACAACCAGCCTTTTAAACTAAAGATATGAAAAGAAGTTTGCGCGCAGAATCAAAGTTAGGGCGTCAGTAACGGCCCTTTCTCACCGCCTCCCTCTTCTCGTTGAGGTTATTTCTCTCTCTCTCTCTCTCTCAAACCATCAGGCTTCTTCACTCAGTCTCTCACTGCACTGGATTCCAAGCAACTGTCTCTGGTTTCTCTCTAGTGTATCGTTATCTTGTTCTCTGTTGTGGGTGAAAATTTCGAAGAAAACCACTGCGTAGGTGAGTAAGATGAGTTGATTTTTTTTTGTCTTCTTGTTTTGCTTCATTGCTCCAAGCATTCAATATATTTTTTTTGACAACCACGCTTTTGCAATCTTCACGTTTGGATTTCCTTCCTTTTTTCTGGCGTTTTCTTGAATATATGGGATTTGTTTGGTTTCGCTAATTCGATTTTTGTTGCTTGATTGGGTGTTGATTTGGGGTTAAATGACTGTTTATTTGGGTGGCTATTCTTGTCAGAATTTTCGGCGTATTTTAGTGGCAGATTTTCTGTCAATTTTTTTGGGGGTAAAGTTTGGGGTTGATATTTGGGCCGATTAATGGGTATATGTTTTGCAGATTGTGCTTTTGATTTTTGATTTAATTGTTTGATTTGAGGATTGAAGCCCTGCCTGTGCTAATTCGGACGACTCGAATTGTGCTTCAATCAATGATTCCAAGTAATTTTTTTTTGGCCAATTTCCAAGTGAAAAATTGATGGGTTCAATTTGAGAAGATTTAGATGTGGTTCGATTATTATTTTAAAGTATTTTTTAGTATTATTTGTTTTTTTTCTTGATGAATGGTGCGTATACTCTATTTTTTGAAGTTTAATCTGAACAAAAAAAAAGAAGTTTTAATATATACATATACATATATTAGTTTTTATAGCAAAAGATATTTAGGGGGCCATTTGCACATTAACTAATAATTTATGCTTTCATTTATAAAATATAAATAATTTTCAAACGGTAACGATAATGGGTGACCAGTTGGGTGACTTGTGTTTGGATATGTGCGTGACCTGCTGGTTCTATTTCCAAACGTAAGAAGGGTTTTGGGTTTAAGTGAGTATTTTTATCTCTCTCTTTCTCTCTCCAGGCACTCGTTCTCTCCATAAACGATCAGTCTCAAATCAGCAACATGGGAGTGAAGGAAGACTCTAACATGGCTGATCGAAAAGACCAAGAGTAAGTTTCTCTTAGTTCGAACTTTCCCGTTCTTGTATTAAAAATAGTAAAGATAGGTTCATAAACACCGACACCCATATTAGTATTTGCTCCAGTCGATCCAAATTCTGTTCACCCAGTTTCACCTCTCCTGCCCCAACGGAAAAACCCTTCTACCAAGACTATATAATTGATAGATTACATGTTATGCACAATGTTTTTACCATGTTCTATGCATAGAAATTAGTAATTTTTGATAGTTTTACATTGGAAAATATAGACTCTATAAAAGCCATTTGGTCCTGTGGAGGCTACTCTTGCTATTTAGTCATTCATTTTGCCCACTGAAAGGTATGCTTAGTTCTGTGCTGCGGTGATTTGAGCTCTGTCCTGAAATGTTTCAATGATTTAGGATACCTGCTTGTCTGTGTGTAATGGTTTTGTAGTTATAACTTATAATCACCTGATGGGTTAAATTTGCTGTGCTCTATGAAAGTATTATGGTCATGATTGTGGCCACTGAAAGGTATGTTTAGTTTTGTGCAGCGGTGATTTTGAGCTCTGTCCTGAAAATATTTTTTAGAATTTTAAGATACCTGGTTGTATGTGTATAATGGTTTTGGAATTATTTTTTTTGCACCGGATGTAAATTTGCTGTGCTCTATGAACATATTATGGTAATGGTTTTGCCCAAGGGAAATGGGACAGTGCAATGTTCAGAACAATTGTTTTGAGCAGGTTCAATTTCTTCTGAAACCTGGAGCTAAAATATTATAAGGCATGTATTGACACATATATTTATTGCGATTTATGTTTTTGGGTTCTTATTTGGAATTTCAGGATGGGAATGGACAAACAATTTCTTGCTTCTCCTATAAAGTCTGCTGTGGACAAATATCAACTTCTTCCCGAGTTCTTGAAGGCATGTTTTTTTTTTTTTTTTAAAATTCTTGTTTCATGTAGAAAACCTTTGTCTTATAAAATCAGGGTATAGATATGGGGGAGATCACGCTTTTAAATTGTTTTGGAACGGGAAAAAGAATAAGAGTGTTCTAGTTTTGTGCAAATTTATGTTGAAAAATTCCATTTTCTTGACTTCACTGTGATAGCCTCATAATATTTTATATTCTTTTATTTTATATTTACGAGTTTTTGTAATTAACTACACGGATGATTGACTTTGATGAGTACATAAAGAACTCTGATTAATAGAAATTTTTTGTTCTTTTTGAGTTTGTAGGTGAGAGGGTTGGTGAAGCAACACTTGGACTCCTTTAATTATTTTGTTAGGACTGGGATTAAAAAGATTGTCCGTGCTAACGATTTAGTCACATCTAAGATCGACCCAAGTATTTACCTCAGGTAAAAATTTTGCTATCCAGTAGGGCATGTTTTGATGTTCCTCGGAATATGAATTCCTTCATGACAATTACCAAGTCATTGTAAGTTTCAAATCCGTCGATTGTAGTAGTATTTATGTTGAGTGAATGAAAATTGCTAATTTTTTTCAGTAGTCCATGTCTATATGACAGATTTTCACAAAAAATTAGGAGCAAAACACACTAAATGGTTGGTTTTATTGATAGTTTCAAATTCTCTAACTTTTATTAAGTTTGCAGTTTTGTCTTTAGTTTTTATGTCTTCTTTTACTTTTTACTTTTTATTTTCTTTATTTTTTTCTGTTACAGATACAAAGATGTTTGGATCGGGGAGCCTGCAATGATGGTCGATGTTGTGACTGAAAAGCTTACTCCACATAGATGTCGGTTGTCTGACATTACGTAAGTATCTGGTGTACAGTCCTTGAGTTAAGTCTCTGAAGAATATATCTTAAAAATGATAAATATTCATTTCATTGGTGAAAACACACAGTCCTATGTTTCTTAATAACATTTTTATGGTGGGAAAACAACAATGACACCGCATGGCATTGTGTGAAGATTGGCCATACCTGATAATTCATATTTGGTAAATAGTTACATGATTGAATGACTGTTGATGGTCAATTTTGTTAGGTTGCTTTTGACAGTTAGATTTTTCTCCTCTCTTCCCCAAAAAGGAATCAAAAAAAAAAACGGAAGGATAGAAAAGAAGAATGAATGAATGAAAGATGAATTGTAGATTGGGATTTCAGGTAGTGTCTTGTATGTTGATTTTTGCATACTGGCCTCTTGATTGCAGTAGCAAATTGAAGGCCTTGATCTTTTGATACGCATACCGTTTGCCATATCATGGGAGAAAACATTTAGCTCAAATGAGCAAATTACTCTTGAGTTGAGCAAAATTGGGGAATCAGGACTTTTAATGAAATATATTTGTCAGTGAGTTTTTTGGATGGAGATAGTTTCTCTGGTTTTCAGATTAGAGGAGTCATGACATATAGTCTACGGTGGAGCTCAGTTTAAGCTTCTGTAGGATTTTTCTTGGACCAGTAAAGGTATCTTTGTGAGGGCTCGTGACTCATAAACTGCAACCATTAAGGAGTATCTCATTTTTCTTTTTAAGTTGCTTGATTTTGTTTGAATTGGTTGTTTGTTTATCCATTTCTAATTGTATTGTATTGATATTTACAAGATGCATGTACATATGCATGAGTTTCTCGGGCCTGGAATATCTTCTTTTATTTTTTTCATCCCTGTTCTGTTTTTTCTGCATGTTCCTTTGATTTCAGGTATGCTGCTCCAATATATGTTAATATCGAGTATATTACAGGAAGTCATGGTCTAAAAACTCCTCCCCAGTTTAAGGTACTTTTTACATTCTGCAAATCAAATTTCGTACACATATCCTGAATATGATGCTAAGTTTGTTTATTCAGAACAAAGTAGTTATTGGACGCATGCCTGTCATGTTGAGAAGTTGTTGTTGTGTCTTGTACGGGAAGGATGAAGATGAGCTGGCAAGACTCGGTATATGTCCTTAACATTCCAATGGTTATGTGCTTTACATTCATATGTTTTTACAGTTACTTTCATGTTTGAGAGCAAGAGTCATATACGTAATGCATTCTGATTGTTTTAGGTGAATGCCCACTTGATCCGGGAGGATATTTCATCATCAAAGGAACTGAAAAGGTGACACTTTAATTGTTACAGTGAAATAATTTTCAAATAGAGACGTTAAGATCAAATCTTAGCATTCATTAGTGTCTCTATTGGAGTATTGGTAATCATTGTGCTTGCTAGCTGTTATCACCTATGATTTTTGAGGAACTGCAGGCATAATTTATGATTATGCTTTTGGTTTTTGTTGGTTCCCTTTTTGTGTCGGGGGGTGGGGTGGGGTGGAGGGTCATCTTGATAATTCTTTTAAGGTTGACCAGACATGTCTTGACTATTGGACTGCTTTGGTGGTATCCTTGTTATGTTTATGGAAGCTTGATTGTGCTATTGCTATATGAGTAAATAAGCTTAAATGGTTATAACATTGCATGAGGAGGCCCCACAACATGGCTTATATAGCTACTGTAAACACCATGGTTTTCCATGAGGCTCACTTTTTCAAGCTGTCCTGCTGTGATCATGTTAATTATTGTCTTCTGATTTGGATTTCCTGAAAACATGATAAATGTAAAGATCCTTCAAAATACTACTTGCTGCCCCCATTGCTGGGGGGTCAATTGTGAGTGTCCATTTAATTCTTATCAGATCATGTAATCACTATGCTAGGTAGGATATTGACTATGTTTAATTGCAATGACATTCATCACGTTTCTAGGAAAAAAAGATAAATAAGACAGAAGAAGAGCTAGACCACAGGCCTGAAAACCAAGGTGACATTCAGTTTTACTTCAAATTTTTTTGGAATTCAATTTCCAAGGTATTACCTACATTGAATTGTGTTGTGGTTATTTTTAACACAAAAAAGTTAAAAGATTTTAAAGGGTTTCCATTATTATAGTCTAAGAAGAACAGACATGGACTTGAGACAAACACAGGAGACGGACATGATGTGAGATAGAAATGGTGTGGCATCGACACATTGACTTGGCAAATTCTAGAAAAGTAGAATCAGACACATCTAAAACATTCTATTAATAATTGTGTTTTTCATATATTAAAAGATTGTATAAATATACTGTAGAAGCAACCATGACTTTGTCAATTGTCAAAAGTGGATCTTATTCGATATTTTAAGAAGTAGTCAATAATAACATGTTTTTCATTCATGTTGAATAGAAAAACACATAATTATGATAAATTCTCATCCTTCCATGCTCCTTTATTTCTTTCTATTTCTTTTTAGTTAAATTTTAAATAAAACTGCAAAATGACTAGTCTTAAGACTCGTAACAATTATACCACGTGTTATGAGATAATCAGCGACAACTTTCTAGCTTTGTTAACCACGTGTTAGCCATGTTGCCAAATGGAGTGTAGGATATATGCCTAAAATTCTTCTTAATTTTTTTTTTGATTATGGACACAGTCAATGGAATGTTGAAGATGTGTCCGACCTGTGCCTATCACCTAAATACCTTACCTAAATAGCTTATTCTAAGACATGTTGGCATATCATACGCAAGGATCAAAATATCGTTTCGAAATGGTCGAAACGTCCGAAACGTTTCCATTTCCAAGGAGACTGAAACGAAACAGTGATGAAATCGAAATTCTGATATTTCGAGGTATTCTATAATGTTTTAAATGTATTATAATATTTCAATGCATTTGCACAATTGTTTTGGAATGTTTCAAGATATTTCAAGATACTTTGATATATTTCCATCAATGTTTTAGAAAAATAATTCTTAAATTTGTTATTTTTTTAATTATGTTTTTGAAACGGGTCGAAACGTTTCCGTTTCCTAAGTGACCGAAACAATACACCGAAACGATATTTTGATCCTTGATCATAGGCTGTGGTAAGTTGTAATACATGATTGAGGGATTTACAAAATCTCATATGGGCACACCATGATTTTTTTGGTTTTGTTATTTCATTGACATTAGTGTACATGGAAATTATGGTCCTGCACTTCTAAATGTGCGCAACAAAAAATGCTTGAATTTTTTTAGTGTTTTTCATCTAAATTTGTTTGGCACATGCCAAGATAAGTTTGCATCTTGTATTGTGTTTTAAATTTTTAATGCGGCTCATCACACATTAAACCATGCACTGGGTACGCCCTTTGTCACGCTTGTGAGTAACCCATGCAACAATGGAACATAGAGTGAAGTATCTGAAGTTACATAGTTAGATGTCTCTTTTGGTGTTGGATATGGTTGGTCTCTGTTATAGAATTAATAATGCTTTAAAGGGATGGGGCATATTCTAGCACCTGCTTTTGGATGGCTCCATTGAGAAGTGCTTGTGAGTTTATGATATCTTACCTTTCATTTTAAGGATTAGTCTGTTGATTAATATTTTAGTTTTAGCTATTGTACTGGCAGTTCCTTGCTCATCAAAGTAATTGAATTTCTACATGGGAATAAGATTTTCAGGCTCCCTGGATCACAAAAGTGATCTTATAAATTAATAACCAATGGATGCGCCAATTATTTGCTTACCAGAAAAGAATTTTGCAACAGCTCCCTCACATAACTGATGCGACTTTTACAGCCTGCGTATCTCATTTGATGTGTCCACATTCAATGTGACCTTTGAAGTAACATTTCAGACTTCACAACTGGTTTATTCATATCTCTATCTGATTTTTATATATTTTTAATTTTAGTATCTATGTTGTTTGATGCTTTAACATATTTTGTTGTTTAATGTTTTGATTTTTTTTTTTTTTCAATGACTTTGTTGTTTGTCTTCTCATTGTACACTTATCTAACTAATCAATGGACATTTCTTGTTCTAGATTGTTGACAACCAGACTTACTTTGCCCCTTCACCCCCCCCCCCCCCCAAAAAAAAAAAAAAAAAAACCAAAACACACACACACAAAAAATAAAAAATTGAGATATTCTTTGTATGTGTCTCCACTACTGTAAACACCTTGTTGTCTGTGTGAATCTGATTCTACTGCTCTCTTCCAGGTGATTTTAATACAAGAACAGCTTTCAAAGAACAGAATAATTATTGATACAGATAAGAAGGGGTGGTGAGTAGTTTTCATATAAGATTCGGTTCTCCATTTTTTTATTTTTTCTTAGAGTATCTATTGGGTTATCATTGCAGTTCCTTGTGCCTTGGTGTAAGTGCTTGGGCTATCTGCAATTGTCCAATGCATATTTTTCTTTCAAGTTACAAAATTTTATCTTTCATTTAGAGGACAAATCAGACAAATGGATCATAAAATGATAAATGAAAGTATTGAATAAAAGCTTCTTTGACGAATCCATAAAGAGCAAAGCTTGTAGACAAATCTGGCAAAGAGGTCACGTATTCTAATGTATTTTACTGAGATCCATTAAGAAAAAAGGCACTACCTGTACACTTAGGATATAGCTCAATTTCTGTATTGTTTATTTCTGCTCTTTGAGGCGGGTCTACTCATATAGAAGATATAACCTTTAGTGCATATGCTAATGTTTTTAAGTTGCCTTTGGTAATTGTTATATATTTATTGAAAATAATTCTCAATCCTCTGAAATAGGGTGTGTAGGTTATTTATGTAAGTTCTCGAGTTTCCAAGCTGGTTTGAACTTCTGGCTGTTTGTGTAGCTTTAGTTCTTTGTTCTATTATTATTCATGGTTGTCTTCGGTTAATTTTTTCTCTCTCTCTCTCTCTCTCTCTTTCTGTTGTTCAATTTTTTCAGTATACAAGCATCCGTTACAAGCAGCACAGAGGCAACAAAAAGTAAAACAGTTATAAAAATGGAGAAAGAGAAGATATACTTATATCTTAATCAATTTGCTACTAAGGTCATCATGGCACCTTATCATTTTCTTTCTCTTTATAGAATTTTTTTTTTCTTCCTGTTGTTATTATTTTTGAAAGTGATGATAATTATTTTTTTTCTAGATTCCCATCATGGTGGTCATGAAGGCTATGGGTATGGAGAGTGATCAAGAGGTTGTGCAAATGGTTGGAAGAGATCCTCGATATGGTGCATTACTTTTGCCATCTATTGAGGTAAATTGTATGGTCAAGAGTCAGAGATTCTTAAGGAATATTTTTGCTCCAATTATCTTGGGAGATTTTGATGAAGATTAATTAAAGTTTTTGCTATTAACTTCTTATAGTCCAACATTCCTTTGATTCCTTTGCCAGCTATGTAGGGTTGGCAGTGGGAAAATTCCACACTTCTGCTGTAGCCAACTTCTGGAAACCTTAAACCAAGTTGTGTATGATTGGGGTACCTTTTCTGCTCATGGAGTTTAGAGCCATGCACAATGATAATTGCTGCTTCTACTGATATTCTTTTCTTACCATATAAAGAAGGCAAAACTATCTTGTTGAAAACATTTTTTCAGCTCATCCCTTCCGTTAAGCTTTGGGTTTCCCCCAGTACATCTGTTTGATAAATCTATTTACAGTTTTGAAGAGTTGTGTGATGTTCATTCTCATCATGCAAGAAATTGTTTAAAGCGCATATAGGAATATATGATAGTGTGGGACATCTGTTACTCTTAACATAATAGTGTGTGGGACATCTATTACTCTGACATAATAGTTCTGACCTTTCCTTTTCTTTTTTTGGTTTTTGTTGAAGTACATTTAACCATGTCAATTTCAGTCTTTTGGTGATATTCTGTTGCTAAATGTGATACCTAGTTTGTTTATTTGGTCAAATTTATTTATTTATTTTTGATAGGAAACTGTGGAATATTATTTATATCAAAATAAAAAGTACATGTGAGAACAAGGAGTCCGCAAAATAAAAAAGAAGGAAAAAGAAAACTATAGAGTTAACTTAGAATACAAAACAAGACATTCCATCCCCAACAATCGGAACACACTTGGACCCAATCATCCTTGATAAAAAAGAACGGTGTCCCTTCAAAATCTTTAGCTATGGCAGCCAAAAGAAAAGCCATGAAACTGTTTTTTTCCATAACTCTTGCCAAGGAATCTCTCTGTGTTCAAAAAATTTGACCATTTCTTTCCAACAACACCACTGAAAACAAAGATAGTATTTTTTCCTATAACTCTTGCTAAGGAGTCTTTCTGTCTTAAAAAATTTAATCCCATACACACCACTCAAAACAAAGTTAAAACCACACAATTCAATAGAGTCTTAGCTTTATTACTGACCCAATCCTTCAAAATGAATCTCAAAAATCGAAGCACATTCTTTAGGACACACCCACAGAACTCCAAACATACCTATAAGCATATTCCAAAAATTTTTGGTGCGAGAACAATGTGAAAATAAATGATCCAAACATTCCTCGTCATTTGAGCTGGTTTATTTTAATTTTATCTTTGGGAGTTTTTGTTTTATATTAGTGCATCATCTATGTTCTTGTAGTTTGCAGTTTCTAGTTTCTCTTAATTAAACAAAGTCTTTACTGGTTAGTATATAAAGTAGTATGCTTCTAGAAAGGTTATTTCTTGTGTTTTCAGTTTCCTAGGTCCTATGCAATGGGCCTTATGGGGGAAAAATGGGATGGGAAGTTTTGGATCCATAAGTAAATTTAGTGGGCTTCCTTTTTGTTCTCGTGAAATGAACATTTCCTTGCAGACTTGAGGGGTATTTGTGGATCATTTAAGATAGACTTTGAGATGTTACTGCTGGAAGGATTTTTTGGATATTCCGTAGAGGAAAGAATTTTGGTTGCTTGTGGATGAGTAGATTAGAAGCTGTTCATCATCTAGTTTTCTTTGCTCATCTGTGCAAATAGGGGCTATTTGGTAAGGGGGTATGGGAGGGCTTGATAAGATGGGTTTGGGGAAATTAGTCCAAAGGGCCCCCAAACCCTATGTTTGGATTGAAAACTCAAAAACCCGGCCTGAATATTAAACCTATGATTATGGGTTTCGTCAAACCTAAGGGGTGGGTGGGTTTGGGAAGATGAGTTAAGGGGTTAACACTGCAAAAGACAATTGTACCCCTAAACATGAGTACGAATTGGATTGATCAAAGACAAAATAGTCATTTATAAGATAGATAGTTGTTAATAATTATGATATATCCGTGGTTTCTATATGTATATGTGTTGTATACCAAACATGAGTATGAACTGGATTCAATGTTGAATCCCATCTTTGTAAAGAGGGGTTTCACTTTGGAAGGGTTTGGGAAAGCCAATCCAAACCCTCCTAAAAAATCCATCCAAACAAGCTCTTAGGGTATGGTTTGGGGCTTGAAGTTGGTTGCTTGTGGCAGTCGAGTAGCCGATGCTTATCATTTGGTTTTTCTCTGCTCATAATATTGTTAGGGGATGTTTTATGGCTCAAAAGGGAAGTTCTTAGGTGGACATGGGAGTCCTTTGGTGGGCCATTTATCTTCTTTCCTTTAAATCTTCAAAGTGTTCAGTAGTCTAAGTAGGTTATAAGATGTTTTCCATTTATGTTTTCAGCTACACATTGATGGGTAGCTGGCTGGGTGTCCTTGGTTTCTGTTTGTACCCAAACGTTGGTCTTCTGGTGGACAAAGTAATGAATGGTGTTTTAAATTGGTGTGCTGAAATAGGGAATCCAAAGAATAGATGCCAACAGGCTGCTCTTTGTGGGGTTTCACTATTCTGTATTGAATATATCCCACTGTCCTTATCCCCGAGATGGTTTAGAACTTAACCTTCTAACCACCAAATGTCAAAAGTGTCTGATTACTTGCACCCCCAACATATGAGAACATAGTGCATTTTGTGTCCAGCTTTGTTTTAGAATATCTGGAAACTTGGAATGATGCAGTGAGAAATTATTCATTCCACTAATTTTACAGAATTAATCTCTTCATCTCATTCTTCCTATTGTTGTTTTCTTCTTCACAAACACTTAAATTGTGACCATCATATTTCAACTTGGCACCTGAGCTTCCATCAAGGCCCATACTTAATCAAAAACATAGCAAGAGACATCGGATGGAGTGCTGAAGTCATTGCGTTGATGTCGGAACAAGCAATAAACCCTAGGGCTATGGTTGGCTTTCCATGGGTAATTCTCCAGAGATTTGTTGGAATATTTAAGATTTTTTTATTTGGTGTTTAATTTTCCTATTCTTTTTGGGAAAACAGGCTGAGATTTTTGAGATGCAGATTCTGAACTTCTTTTAAAAAGTTTTTGGTGTTTGTAATCCCTGCTTGATGGTGTGACTAGGCCAGAGTGGTTAGTTTTCTGCAGTCCCTAGGTATTCCAATGCATTTCTTGATGAGAGTAAGCCAGTCTTAGCTGGTGCTATCCAGGTTGCCTAAGTCTTCATTTACTGTTTTGGTGTTTGTTGTAAGCAGTTAATTTTTTTTCCACTTGTTCCGTGCATGTTCTAGTGTTTTCCTTTTGTTTGTTGTGTAATTCTCCTTGCATTCATCAGAATTCTAGACAGGTTGCAAAAATATGCCTGAGATTTGCTAAAGTTCCAGTAGTTTTGGTAGTAGTGTATTGCATTGTTGTAATACCCGACTAAGCTATGGCACTTTTTATCTTGCCTGGTTTCGTTTCACACCATTAATCAAGGACCTAGGGAAGATGGGCTTCCTTTCTGGCAATATTTTGGAGCTGAGAGGTTCAAAACCTTTGCTAAATGGGATGCAAAGAACTCTTTTTTTTTTTTTAATGCTGGGCCTCTTCATTCCATTTAACCTAAGATCATGAAAGGATATTTTGTTCTTTGGGATGGCAAATGAAATATGAGATGCTATTGCTTAAACTTATTCAAAAGTGGTAATGTTGCTCAGATGACTTGAAGTGCAGAATCCAAGAGCATAATGGAGAGAGAGAATTCTGGGTGGATCAATAGCATGCTGCAGGCATTCCAGGCGGATTACACTTGTGATCTGGCTGATGCCCACAAAGTTAAAGAGATGGTGGAACATTAGCAACTTTTTTATTCTTAGTTTATGGTGTATGACCAGTTTTGAATTCAGATTTTAGGACGTGACCCTCTACGTCCTTTCAGTTAGGTGGTTGCTTATGTTCAAGGTGATGACAGTAGAAAGAATACTATGCTATAGTTGTCGGCTCAGGAGAGATGCTTTTTTTTTTTTACCTCTCAGGCGGAAGGCAAAATGATCACCAGGGGCCGTGATAGGGGTTGTGTTAGTGTATATATTTTGGATGACAAGGATAAGCTAGTCTGTATTATCATCACAAGTTAAGGTGCACTAAAGAGAGTTGCTAGAAACTATACAGTCGGCTGACATAAGGTGGAGGTGGTTGCCAAACACACTTCCATTACCACTCTCGAGTCTTTCAATAAACTTCTTTTCCTAACTATGAAACAACATCAAATATTATCTCCTTCTACCTCTTGACAAACTCGGTTTATCTTGCTAAGCCATCTTTGCCTCATTTTGTTACCTTCGACCTACCTAGTCAAGTTTACCACTGATGCCCAATGTGCTTACCAGTGTGCGTAAAGCGAACTAAAGTGAACAAATCTCGTGAGGCATAGGCGAGAAGTGAGAGTCGAAGTGAAGCGAACAGTAAAAAAAACCCAGCAAATATTTTAGTTTAATAATGTAATTCGAACAGGAGCAGATTCAGCATCTAAACAGAAGCAGAATCAGCATCTAATGATAATCAAACCGGAGCAAAATCGACATTTAAACAGAAGAATCAGTTTAACAAAGCAGTCCAGCAGAATCAATATCTAAACAGATTAAACACGGTTTAAAAACAGATTAACTTAGCAAAAATCAGATTGAACACAGATTAACACAGCAGAAATAGAAAATAAGAAACTTGGCCGCAAAAAAAAAAAAAAAAAAGAAACAGAAACAGAGTAGAAGAGAAGGACGTTCCAGCAGAATCAGCATAAGAGTTCCATAACTCAGAAGAAGAAGAGGGGAATAAGTAGAAGAGGAGAAGAATCAAAAAACCAGAAACACTGCCAAAAAAGAAGAAGAAAGAAACAGAGTAGAAGAGGAGGAGGAGGAGGAGATTCCAGTAGAATCAGCATCGCAGCAACATAGTTCCAGAAAATTAGAAGAAGAGGGGAAGAAGTAGGAGAGGAGAAGAATCAGAAAATCAGAAGAAAAAGAAAAAACAGAACATACCTTCTGTGTAGAAGAAGAATAGGGAAGAAGTAAAAGACGAGGAGGAGGAGAAGAACCAGAAAATCAGAAGAAAAAGAGGTGGAGAGGAAGTAGAAAAGGAGAAGAATGAAAAGACATACCTTCGGCATCTGTCCAGAAGAATCACTAAGGCGACCGCTTGTTCGCATATTCTTGCTTTCCCCTCTTCACCTACGGCCGCATCGCCTGGCTTGTTCCAAGCGACATAGGGTTGCTTGGCCTCGCTTCTTGCCTAGGCAAGCACCGCTTTTCACAACACTGTTGCTTACCAATGGATGCTTTGAGATTAAAAAACATGTACTTAGACATCTGTTTTTTCGGGAAGATTAGAACTTTCTGCATTCAGGAAACAGCAGAAAGAATTTTCACTGAGCATCTTTTATCACATGGAAATCGTCTTGTGATAGTTGAACATAATTTCTTGTTTTGGAGGAGCTAATGAAAGGTGTTGCCAGACTGTTCATGTTTAACCATTTCATTAACGACTATATGAAATAAGAACAAAAGGTTTAAAGCCATTTTTGGAACAGAAGCAGATTGCTTTCTGAAAATGTTTGTAGATAACTTTTCATTTGCCTAGTAATTATCTTTTTTTGTTCATCTTTAGGGAGACCTCCTCTAGTTGTACCTCTTTCTCAAATTTTGGTCACATTTACTTTTTGTTCAGGGCATCTAAGTTATACAAACATTGGTGCTTGAAACATTTTATAATTTGCTTTTGTGTGAGTGAATCCAGCTGTATCAGAATTACACTAAAATTTTTTTGGCACTGCTGATGATAAAATTAGATACTTCCAATGAAATGCTAGCAGATTCTATGCTTGAAACAATGGCTGTTTGGCACTGATATATGTGCAGCGTCTTAAATCTTTTCGAAAATGAAAGTTATGTTATTTTCTTGTCCTTTATTATTGTTTCTGTGCATTACTTTGTTGCTCTCGGGATCTGTTTCGATTGAATCGGTGTTTGCTTCATCAGTTTTTTTTTGTCATTTTCAAAATGTGATTTCAAACTTTTGCCCTCCTCGGCTCCTCCTTGGTTTTATTTGTTTGCTGTATGCTTTATTCAATAAAATTCTTTTCTATGTGTATTATCTTTATTGTTTTCAGGAATGTGCAAGCCATGATGTATATACACAACATCAAGCGTTGGAGTTCCTTGAGAAGAAGGTTTGCTTTCTTGTTTATTCAATAAAAAAGATGAGATGTGTTTTTTTTTTGTTCAATTTCTTCCTGTTGACGAAACAAAAGATTATCGAAATAGATTTAAGTGCATAGAGGGAAAGAGATCTCCTCAAAAAGAAAAACTAAACAACACAATCATCTATATGCAAGAATCTCAGAAACATTTTCTGTGAATAGAACTTCCCTATGGCACCTGAATTGGCTGCTTTGGAGTTCAAGAGAATGAAAAGTCCAAATTATCTAGGCAAAGGATCTCATTGCAGACATTTTCTGTGTATACCACAGCTGTTCGCTAAGTAGTTGGCCTCCAATTTGGCTGTACTTGGAGTCCAAGTGAATGAATTATCTTTATCTTTAACAAGAGACTTTTCTCTTTCATTATGTTCTGCCATCTTCAAGGAACCATGCACTGTAGAGAAATCCAATAAAAAATATTGTAGGACTCACTCTCTAGAATAACTCTCCACCGTTATCTACCCTCTAGCTAAAGGCAGTCAAACCTCACTTAAATTGTAGAACTCTTGCCGAATAGATACCCAATTTTAACCGCTTTGGAGAAACAAAGCTTATTCCACCACTAGATTTCTCCATATTCGAAGATGTTTTAAACCATTAACCTCAATTATAGAAAGGTTTGATGATTTTGTGACCTGATGGACCAATTAACACCTTGACTTGTACTTTAAAATTTTCTGGTATTTAGTATTTTGTTAGGGGCAAGGATCAAAATTTCGTTTCGAAGTACCGTTTCGGTCAACTCAAAAATAGAAACGTTTCGAAAACATTTCGGAAACGCAATGGAAACGCAAAAAAAATATGGAAACGCATAGAAACACAAATGCAATCCATTAATTTATAAAGATATGCTAAATAATTTATTAATTCAACATATTTATTAGGTTAACATCAATTTATACAAGAATAAATTTAAATTTGAGGGAAAAAAAGGCTTGACTTGAGGCGAAAGTCACTTAAATTAGTTTCAAACACTTAATTTTTATGAAATAAACACATTTTTACATAATATTAACGTCTTATAATACACATGAAATGCTAATGAGTACATACTTACATGATTACATCCATTCCCCTGTGGAGTGTCGAGCAGGCTCATACATCGGTGTAGGCTCTGGGTAGCTACTTAGAGAAACTCCATATGTGACATAAATATGATGACAATAGTTACTCCAAATCATATTATTACGGTAATATAATTCAATTAATAATACTATTTTATTATAATACTAATAATGAAGGGTATCAAATTAAATTAATGATACTTATGTATACTTAAAAATTAAATGTAATTGCAGTGGGTATTAAATGTAATTGTTAATACTTATAACAAAAAAAAAAAGCAAAAAACTTGCACAGCAGTGAGGTATTAAATATAATTACAGTATGTATTAAATATAATTATAATGGGTATTAAATATAATTATAGTAGGGTGTTAAGTGTAATTATTTATTCTTATAACAAAAAAATTATAAAAGACAGAAGAGCAGTGGGAATTAAATGTAATTATAGTGGGATATTAAATATAATTATAGTGAGTATTAAATGTAATTACAGTGGGTATTAAATGTAATTATAATGGGGTATTAAATGTAATTATTCATAATGAACCGAATATATCACTGTTTTGTCGAAACGGTCCGAAACAATGCCGTTTCGACCGAAACGGTCCGAAACAGTACCGTTTCGACCGAAACACTGGAATTTTGTGATTCAACTACTGTTTCGTTTCGGAGTGTTGAAATTCCGAAACGTTTCGGACGTTTCGGACGTGTCGACACGACATTTTGATCCTTGGTTAGGGGAAATTTTGTTAATTTTATGGACCTTTAATCTTTGTGAAATCAGCATGTTTATCCCATTGACTGATGTCCCATTTCTTAGTAGCTTTGGTCTACAGCTCCTTGTAACCTTTTATAACTTGCCTCCTGTCCTATAGAAGTATGACAAAATTGTCAACTGGTAATGTAATTGATTAAGGCCCCTTATTTCTTTTCTAATGAAAGAGTTCACCGCCTGCCTTAGTAGTCTCAAATATGGCGTGCAGGCTTGCCCCTTTTTATATCCATTTACTAAAACCTAATGACATGTAATTGCTATAAACTTGGTTTCTCTTCATTCAGACTTTCATTGCTAGTGGCAGCAATGAGTTTTGTCTTTGCTAAATTACTTACCTTTCGGAATAGTCAACAGTTTTCATTAAGTGAAAATTAGTTGTCTTCTATTTTAATCTCTGATTTGCTGTGTGATATTTACTTTGATTGTTGGTGCTAGTCTTTGATGGGTATTTAATTTCAATTGTTTATTGGAATGGCTGTCTTATCTATAATATGGTTTAAGTATTTCATTGTCAAATTTCATCAATTAAATAGCATGAAAATAAAATTACGAAAATCACATACATTTTGAGCTGAAATATATGTAGTCTGCTAATATCCTTGATAGGAGTTAACTACTACTTGTCTAGAGTGTGTGACTTGGTTACTGTGAAGTTATGATGAGGTAACTAACAATGTGGTTCCATTGACCTTAGGGGTGCAAGGTCTTTAATTCTACTTTTTAAAACAAAGACCTCTTTTTTCATCTAAAAGTAGCTTGGATTGAAGATTTATGATGCCGATATGTATGTATTGTGTTTAGAAATTCTTAGCTAAACTTGAGTGTATAAGTTTAAGTTTTTACTATAATTCCATTGATAACAAAGCTTCATTTGAGATACTCTCAGCTATTTAGAGCATAGATACACACAACTATTTTGTGCTTACTTACCTCCCAAATAATTTGTTTGAGATCGATATTCATTGTACGAAGTGAAATCTACAAGATCGTTTCTTCAGTGATTCTTGATGCTTATGGAGATCCTTTATAAAAGATATGATGAGATACAAGAGGTTTTACCTAGGGTTGTTTCTGATCATTGTCCTATTTTTCTTGATAATTCTAGCATCAAATGGGGTTCGGTTTCCTTTAGATTTGAGAATATATGGCTGGAACATCATACCTTTAGAGGGAAGTTTAAGAATGGGTGGGAAGAGGGTTGTTGTGATAGATGGTGGAGTTACAAATTTATGAAAAAAATGGATTTTATTAAGAGAAAAATAAAAGTTTGGATTAAGGAGGTTTTTGGTGATACTCGTGTTATTAAGAGTGGTATTATGGATAGGATTACTGATATTGATAAGATTAAGGAAAGATAAAATTTAGATAAAGGATTAAGAAAAAGAGAGATGAAATCTTAGAAATAAATTTGAAGAAGTTGTTTTTAGAGAGGAGATTAGTTAGAGACAACAATCTAGGGTGAAATAGGTGAAAAAAGGGGATAATAATTCAATGTTCTTTTACAGAGTTGCAAATGGGAATAGGAAAAAGAAAATTGTTAATAGATTGAGCATTGAAGGAGGAATTTTTGTTAAGGAAGAAGATCAAATTAAAAGAAAGGTTCTGAGTGTCTTTTTTAATTTATACATGGCTTCTGAAGACTGTAGACCTAGAGTGAGTGGTGTTCCATTAAAGAAAGGATATGAAGGTGGATGAAGAGACTGTTTGAGGAGTTAGAGGTGAGGAGTGCTGTCTTTGAGTGTAGTCGAAAAAAAGCACATGGGCCTGATGTTTTTACGATGACTATTTTTCAAGAGTGTTAGGAGGTTGTGAAAATAGATTTGATGAGAGTGTTTTCTGAATTTTGGCAAAGTGGTGTGGTTAATGGTATTACTGATACAACATTTATTTGTCTTATTCCGAAGAAGAAGAATTCTATTAGAATAAAGGACTTTAGACCAATTAGTCTTGTTAATAGTCTTTAGAAGATTATTGCCAATGTTTTGTCTATTCGTTTAAGGGAGAGTTTGAGTGATACCATTTCAAGGTTTCAGGGGGCATTTGTAAAGGGAAGACAAATTATGGATGTTGCTTTGGTGGCAAATGAGGTGGTAGAGGATTATAAAGTTCAAGGAAAGGAAGGAATTATTTTAAGATTGATTTTGAGAAGGCTTATGATCAAGTGGATTGG